GCCCTATTCCGGGCACGATTCAGGGATCGATTCTGGGAGATTCTGGGCTCCCTTCTAGGCTTGATTCTGGGCTCGATTCTGGGAGAAGAAATTTGCAGTAGAAGGAAATTGCAGCAGATATTTTACTCCATTTTTGATCTGTTAACCATCCGAAACTCACCCGAGGCCCTTGGGACCTCAACCAAATATACCAACAAGTCCTAAAATATCATACGAACTTAGTAGAGTCTTCAAATCACATCCAACAACACTAAAAACATGAATCACATATAGATTCAAGCCTAATGAACTTTGAAACTTTCCATTTCTACAAACAACGCCGAAACCTATCAAATCACGTCCGATTGACCTCAAATTTTGCACACAAGTCATAAATACATAACAAGCCTATTAAAATTTTTAGAATCAGATTTCGACTCCGATATCAAAAAGTCAACCCCCCGGTCAAACTTCTCAAAAATTCAACTTTTGACATTTCAAGCCTAATTCCTCTACGAACCTCCAAAAAAATTTTCGGACACGCTCCTAAGCCCAAAATCACCATACGGAGCTATTGGAATCATAAAAATTCAGATCCGAGGTCGTTTACACCTAAGTCCACATCCGGTCAATTTTTCTAACTTAAAATTTTAAATTATGAGACTAAGTATCTCATTTTACTCTGAATTCCTTCCGGACCCAAACCAACTAACCCGATAAGTCATAAATCAATTGTAAGGCATAAATTGAGAAGTAAATAGGGGAACGGGATTATAATGCTAAAAAGGACCGGCAGAGTCGTTACACTCATCTTTAATTTTTATGGTATACACCCACACTCTCCGGAAAAAGTCATCAATAAAGGTTACAAAATAGTGTTTCCCACCTAATGAAGGTGTTTTGGAAGCACCTCAAATATCATAGTGAACATAATCAAAAATACCTTTAGTATTATGGATCGTTGTTCCAAATTTAACTCTTGCATGTTTCCCCTTGACACAATGCTCACAAAACTTCAAATTGCAAGTCTTTACTCCTTTTAACAATCCTTGATCTGATAAAATTTTCAAGAATTTTCCTTCAGCATGTCCCAAGCGCATGTGCCATAGCTTGGTTGTTTCTGCCTTCTTGTCATCACGGGATGTCACTGTTGTTGTCCCAATAACTGTACTACCATGATAGTGGTACATGTTATTATTTTGCTGAATTCCCTTCATTACCACTAGTGCACCGGAGCATATTCTTATTATCCCATTTTCTGCAATGACTTTGAGCCCCTTTGACTCTAGGGCTCCTACAGAAATGAGATTTTTCTTCAATTTCGGTACGTATCAAACATCTATTAATGTTCTTATCAATTCATCATGGTTCCTTAATAGGATTGAACCAATACCATATGCGGTAAGGGTATTGTTATTCGCGATGTGAATAACTCCACATTCTCCTTCTTGAAAATCAATGAACCAGTCCCTATTGGGACACATATGATATCTACAAGCCGAATCCATCAACCATATGTCACATGGTTTGAATGGCTCAGTTGTAACTAGTGAGAAATCAGAGTCGTCACAATCAGCTACATTTGAATCCATGGCAGCCTTCCCATTGTTAAGTTTGGCCTTATTTTTCAACTTTGGACAGTCTTTCTTCTAGTGCCCCTTTTCTCGGCAAAAGGTGCATTCATCTTTGCTGGGTTTGGATCTTGACTTGGATATTCCTTTCTTTGTTCTCATATGATTTTGAGAACGACCTCTCACGACCAGTGCTTCTCCTTCTCCACTCTTTTGTTTTTCTCTCTTTCTTTGTTTATAGCTGTACAAGGCAGAACAAACTTCTTTGAGAGACACTTCATCATTCCCATGAAGTAGAGTAGTTTCGAGGTACTCGTACTCATCGAGAAGTGAACTTAATAACGTTAAAGTTATATCTCCATCACTAAAAGTCACGTCCATATTCTGCAAATTTGTCGCCAACTTATTAAAGTTGGTGATATGATCATTCATTGTAGTACCGGGAATATATATAAAGCGTAACAGTCTTTTTTTCATGTAAAGTTTATTTTGACTGTTTTTCTTCAAGAATTTATCCTCTAATGCATTCCACAATTTACTTGCAGAAGTTTCTTTTGTGTATGGATACTTTTGTTCTTTTGCGAGGTAAGATCGAATGGTACCACAAGCAACGCGGTTGATAATCTTCAAATTTCCTTCTCCGATATTGTCTGGTTTCTTTTATTCTATGGCAATATCTAGCCCTTATTGAAAAAGGACATCAAGTACCTCAGCTTGCCACATCCCGAAATGTTCTGACCCGTCAAAAATTTCAACTGTAAATTTCGCATTTGACATAATTCTTGTCATAAGCGAAGATGCCAACGACGTATTACTGACACCCGATGTGTACTCTTCATTTTTATTATTTCTCATTTTCTACAAATACTATTTATTTGCTGACAGTACATATCACCAAAGTAATTCTTTTTTAATGTGGAAGTTCAGGCTATGCTGCAACCACAGAGTATACTAAGATAGAACCTTGGCTCTGATACCAATTATTGCGGAAGCCGAATATATAGAGACTGATTAAATCACAACTACTATATCTAAAGGTAGCTAATAAATAGTAAATGTGACAACAATAAAAAGAACACCAGAAATTAACGAGGTTCGGCAAAATTTAATTTTTGCCTAGTCCTCGGACACAATCAACTCAAACTTTATTTCACTCCAAAAATACAAGTGAAATACTACAAGAGAGAAAGAAGATTCAAATGCCTTAGGAGATAATAAGGCAAGTGAGAGATGTTTACAAATGAATAAAACCCTTGCTATTTATAGAAGGAAAATGGCCCTAATAATATCATGTATGACATCATATTAAGTGTGATCATGCAATGTAAATGCATGAAAAATACATCTACCAATTATTTCCTAAAAGGAGGTTTCAAATGTTCACACTAGTTCACATTAATCTTGTCAAATTCAATATTGTATTGATGAAAAAATAAACTCGCCACGTGGTCTAATGATATGCTGACAGGTGGCATAAAAATCAAAACGATAAAGAATGAAGATTAGGAAAAGTATGGGTAAAACACACGAGAGTGCTTACAAAGATACCACACCTAACAACTGAAAAAGAAGAGACAGACGCGGGATGAATAATTAAAGACTACAAGGAAGGAAGGTTCATTAATAACCACGAATATCGAAAGAAATTGGCATAATCTCTGATTGTGCGCTATTGGTCATTATTACCATAACCGTTACAAATTACCCATGTAATAGGCAATCAATGTGATAAATATTAGTAACGGACGAGAATTAAGTAACGCGAAACAGTTACATATTGTACCCTTATATAAACCCCTCTTACCATACCTTGTAGCATTATCAAGAAATTCACAAAATTATACTAGTACTTTTACTTTCTACTATTTGAAGATCTCATTCTCTCCTTTTGGAAGGAAGCTATGACTATCAATTATAAGATTCCTTTTTTCTTATTCTCTCAATATTTTATTTCTATTTTTTGCTATCTAACTATGTTTAGGAAAAGTTAAGTAAAATTGATTATTAAAAACTCGAATTATTCTTTTATTTGCTTTGATCACACAACTATTTTTTGGTTAAATATATATAGCGGTAGAAGAAACTATTAAACTACGGGTTGATAAGTTGTTTGATAAAAAAAAAGTCAAATAAAAAATTTATTTTTTGAATAGTTAAACTAGTTTGAAATTCATGAGTAATTTAAAAATTGTATAAAGTAATGTATTAATCGTGAATGAAGGCAGTATTCCAAGAAACACTCGATATTATTGGTGGTGTTGATTTGGTCATCCAAGCATCTTAATTATCTTACTATTTGCCACCAGACCTTTGAATATAGGGACGTTTTATGTTTACATATCGGGAAAAGGACAGTAACTGTTTTGCACAGTGGGAAAAGTTGAGTCAAAGTTTCCTACATCTATATCTAGTTCATAATCTTTGATATGTTGAAATAATTACACATATAAGTTATATACATTGATAGTGAAATTATTCATAAAAATATTTTTTATATATTATTAATGTAATTTAATTGATCATTACACTGTTTTACAAGGTTATTATATCAAGATTAATATTTTAAACAATTTTCATAATGTTATATTAATAATATAAAGGAAAAATGATATTGTATAGTCGCTGTAAAAATAATAGCCGAAAAAATATATAAAATTTATATATTTCTTGTATATATATATATATATATATATTCTGTATGTTATATACAAAAATTATACAAATTCTATACATTTTTTTCGACTACCAAATATAAATAGTTTCTGGCTCGGACTAAAAGCGATAATATTTCTAATATAAACTCTTACTTCTCGTAAATAAATACCCGATATGTTGGATACTTATCTTCCTAGAGCTTCAGATAGAAAAGAAAAGGACAGAAATTTGTGAAAGTTCAAATTTGGAGTGCTACTACCTACAGAACGATAACAGGGCAGATTTATAGGCAAAAATATGACCACGCGAACTTATGGTCTTTCTGTAAAATTATATATTTTATATATAAATTTTTTAAATTGATACTCATGCTCTAAGAAAATTGAATAGTATATTGGTTGAAGGTTGAGTTAATTATCCAAAAAGAATGGTATATTGAATAGTATATTGCTCTAAGATCAATTCTCGCTTGCTTTTTTTCTCTTTTTAGTGGTACACTCGTGCATTAGAAATTCTGAATACGCGTATGACCCTACCCAAAACCGGATATATGTTTCATGTTTATGCTAACCAGCTAAGTACGTAAAAGAATTGGAAAATAAGCAGCCACCCTTTCACGTATATATGCATGGCAACAAAGATGTCATTTTCCAAGAAATAATTTATTAAAGGGATTAAATATCAAACAAAACAATCCTAGTTGCTGCCAAAATACCATTCGTCTGTCATTTACTAAACAATACTGAATTATTGTCCCCTATATATCATGTGAGAAAACACCCTTATGCTTCTCTTCTTCCTCACCCCCCCCCCCCCCTTCTTTAACTTTTTTTGCCCCACTTTTTCCCTGTTCTCTCACTATATTCATCAACTCATATTGAAGTATGTCCTTACAATCTCATCTAGAGAATTCGGTTGTCTCTGCAGATACTGATCAAACTCTATTTCCAGAAAACGAACAACATGTCAAGAACTCTCCGGAGACCTTCCTTGATCTACCACCGGAATCATTTTGGATCCCAAAAGACTCCGAACAAGATTGGTTTGATGAAAATGCAACCATACAACGTATGACCTCAATGAAACTTGGTTTTTTTGGCAAAGCAAATCACCATTCCAAATCTTTCTCTCATCGTTCTTTCGCTTCGTTGAATCATCATCAAAAACCAAAATCAACATCTCTTTTTGCTCTTCCCAAAGCCCAAAAAACTAGCTCAACCGAAGGAAATCTCAAGCAGAAAAAGGTGCCGAAAAGTTTATTCAGAAGCCGGTCTGAACCGGGTAACAAAGGGATTAGGAATGTGCGTGAACCGGGTTCACCTAAGGTTTCTTGTATCGGGAGGGTTAGGTCAAAGAAAGACAGAGGTATAAGAACCGGGTTCTGGAAAAAGTTACGGAATATTCTGAAGATTCGGCCGAAAGCAAAAAGTGTGGCTAATGTTGAAACTGTTAAACCGGCCGGTTCAGTTGGCGTGAAGCGGTTAGAGACTAGTGGCCGGTCAGAGTCATAGAGCGGCAATGATAATATGGGCTTATTGGGCTTTACACGTATGCTTAGTGGGCCCACATTTTGTTTCGTTAGGCCGTGATTTGAGGCCTGTATGGCCCACTACAAGTATAAACAAACAGCTATACGATTCCACCATTTGATATTTCATTCTTTAAATTTTGTGAAAATATATATATTCAAATTCAAGTTGTTGTGCACGTTGAATTTAGTATTATTTTGAGATACAGAGTAATCCACTTGTTTATACAAATTATTTGGTACATGCATTTTCCTAAAATATTAAAAGCAGTATTATATATGCATAGGTTGTTCATGGAAAAGGTCTAAATAGACGACATAACTTCCACTATATATCAATAAAACCAAATCAATGAGACGGGCATATTTTAGACAAAGAAAGTACACAAATAGTCATATTTCAGTGTTGCTATTTAGAGATTAGTCGGTATGTATTTTGTTCTGAAAATTTGAACTAAAAATCTTAATTTCAGGATTTTGTGTCCCGAAAAATTGAACTGATATACAAAAGTTCAGGACACATTGACTAATTTCTAAATCGCAACCATTTAGAATAGCTATCTGGTGACATTTTTACAGATAACGGTGGGAGCTCCTAAGTCCTATGAGCCTATATGTAAATGGGCGAAATATATAAGACAAATTACAGATGTAGGTACAAATTTAGACATTTTCCCATTCATTCTTTAAATTTTGTGAAATATATATTCAAATTCAAGTTGTTTTGAATTTGAATTCAAAATTCTTTTTTAGATAGAGAATAATCTACTTATTTATACGAATTATTTAATACATGAACATAATACTTTAATTTCTGACATTTTAATATTAAAAATAGTATTATATATGTATAGGTTGTTCATGAAAATTATTAGCCAATGTTGAATATGAGACGCGATAATGACTTTATGTTTGACCGTAATATAATTATCTTCCTGAAACTAAACGTGGATTATAAATGGCTGCTGATACAGAATATTGGGCTAAAGAATAATTAGCTTAGAGCTTCTAGAATCATCGTACAAGAAAAAAAGATCTTCTCATCCATCCTTCTTGGTTACTCATTCTAGTAAGATGTTAAGATAAATAATTAAATCAACAATATTTATATCAAATGTAACGACCGATCGGTCGTTTTGTGTAATTGCATCCTCTTACCCATTTTTATGCTTCACACGTGTGTGTTTATGGTTTTATCACTTGTGCGGTTGGTTGGTTTCGTTCCAGGAAGATTTCGGGTTGATTTGGACCCTTTTATTCTTGACTTAGAAGTTTGAATTAGAAATATTCACCAAACTTTGACCTTTACGAAAACGACCCCGAAACTGTGTTTTGATGACTCTGATAACTTCATATCATGATTTCGGACTTGGACGTATACCCAAAATTGATTTCGGAAGTCCGTAGGTTGATTTATGTTGATTTGCCGAAATTTGGCAATTTGAAGTTGAAAAGTTTCACCGTAGGTTGACTTTTAGCTATCGAGCTCGAAATTTGATTATAGGACTTGGAATAGGTCCATTATGGTATTTGAAACTTTTCTGCAAAATTTGGTGTCGTTTGGAGTTGATTTGATAGGATTCGAACGTTTAGTTGTAACTTTAGAAATTCTTGAACTTTACTTTGAAATTCATGCGTTTTAGTATTTGATTCGTAGTTTTAGATGTTATTTTTGTATTTTGATCACGCCAGCAAGTTTGTATGATATTTTTAGACTTGTGTGGATGTTTGGTTTTGACTCCCGAGGGCTCAGATGAGTTTCGGACATGTTCCGGAGTATTTTGGACTGAAATTGCAAAATCTGGTGTGTGGTGCCTCTGGTGTCGTAATTGTGAACACCAGGGTCGCATTTGCGCCCTTAACAAGGAACCCACATGTATCGCAATTGCGATGCCTGGGTCGCATTTGCGAAGAGGTCTTGGGCTGGGCTAGGTTCGCATTTGCGATAGTTTTCGTCGCTTTTGCGAGGGCAACTACGAACCCATCTTCGCGTTTGCAAAGAGCTTCTCAGGCCTGTCGGTGCCGCAATTGCGAGATTTTCTTCACAATTGCAATTGCGAACACATATCACAATTGCGATAACTGCAGCTGAACATAAGGGCTAAAAGTCGGGATTTCATCTCTCATTCTCTCATTTTTAAACCCTATGCTCGGTATGAGGTGATTTGGAGAGGGAATTTTCACCTACAAACTTTGGGTAAGTGATTCTAATCTGTTTCTAATCATATTCCATCAATATATCTTAGATTTTAACATCAAAATCATGTGAATCGATCACATATAAACTCGTAGGGTCATGGGTAGTCAAAATCTACCATTGGACTTGGATTTTTACCAGACGAGCCACGGGTTGACTTTTGTTGACTTTTTGGGAAAAGTGTAAAGATCTTAGCTTTATCTATTGTAATTGATTTCTCAAGCATTATTTGACGATATTAAGTAGAATTTCGTTAGATTTAAGCCGTGTGAAGGCGAATTTTAAGGGAAAAGCTATTTTCGAGTGTTGAATTGGCCTTGTTGATGTAAGTGTCTTGCCTAACTTTATGTGGGGGAAACTACCCCTTAGGACCGGTATTGATTGATTCATTTGTGATATGTGAAAGCCGTGTACGCAAGGTGACGAGTGTGTACATGGGTTGTACATGGTATTTGACCGGTTTGGGCTACTTAAGACTATTTTCATGCTTTAATTGAAATGACATATCATGTTCTAAATTCTCATAGTCAATCTATCCCTATTCATGTTAGTCTATCCTTACATGCCTTAATTGACTTGTTTAATACTTGTTCTACATCCTACTTGATAAATTGCTCTCATGTTATAGTTGAACTTGTTGCCTCTTTTATTGTTACATGCCGTCTCTTCATTGCTAATTATCATAATTTGAAGTTATTGTTCGTGTTATCTCCTTGATTATTGATTATCATTACTTGAAGTTGTTGTTCATGTTATCTATTTTCTTATTAATTTTTATTATTTGAAATCATTGTTATACGTTATTTCTTCCATTATGAGTTATTCTTGTTTAATATCGTGGTTATACATTATCTCATTGTTGAGTTAATATTTGTGTTGAAGTTGTGAAAGTAATTATCACGTTGAGGTGAAATTGTTATTGTTGAAATATTTTCTTGTTGAGCCTTTTACATTCATTGTTGTTGTTGATATTCTTGTACCCGTTGTGATGGAGCCATGGGCTATTGTTGGCAGTGTCGAAGCTAGAAATTTTTCCAAGGGTGTTCAAATTTAAAAGAAGTGAAAAAACTTTTCGACAAAGGGTGTTCAATATGTATTATATACCTCTAAAATATAATATTTTACCTCTGTACACAGTGTAACCATGTGGCTTCGCCACTGATTGTTGGAAAATATTGATATTGTTTATTGTTGACAAGTTGTGATGTGTGGGCACTTGTGGTGCGAGTTGTTATTGTAATGTGATATTGACGCGCATGCGACGGTATAAGGTGGGACATATGTGTGTGTTGCTTGTAGGAAAACTACGTGAAGCCACGCTACATCATAAGATGGGCTAAAGTACGTGTAGCTATTTCAGAAAAAAACTGTTTTCAAAACATATTTCAAATGTAAGGCTCACGCGGCGATATAAGAAAATATTATGATTGAGATTGTGAATAGGAGGCGGTACCTCAGTTGCGATTCTTGATATATATATATATATATNGCGGTACCTCGTTGTGATTCTTGTTGTTTGTTCTTCCTTGTTTTTGTCAGTTATTGTCCGTATATGACTATTGTGGTTCTCCTTAATTGATTTCCTTATGTTATTTCCGTGATTACAATTTCGGTATTAGTTCATATTGTTAATTGTTTCGCATCAGTTATTTCTCTGCTTTCCATTATTTATCCTTATTATGTTTTCATACTGTTTATTTATATCCTAGTAGGTGTCTCGACTTGGCCTCGTCACTACTCTATCGAGGTTAGGCTTGATACTTACTGGGTACCGTTGTAGTGTACTCATACTACGCTTCTATACATCCTTTTGTGCAGATCGAGATACATCTGCTCGTGCCGGTAGCTAGTGATCATCTGTTAGTTGTTGAACGGAAACTTCAAGATATGCCTCCTCGGCGTCCGCAGGCCTCGGAGTCACCTTGTGATGACCCAAAATGTCATCTTTAAATTTAATAATTAATTATGTGTTCTAAGACCTCGAAAAGCACTACTTATCATTCCACGACTTACGTGCGCAGTCCGTAAAAATTTTCGAAAAATTTTATGTCAAAAATTGATTAAAATGTAAATTAGAACTTTAAAACTCAACTAAGTTGATTTTGGTCAATATTTTGAGCAAACAGACTCGGATCAGTATTTTGACAGTTCCGGTAGGTCCGTATCGTGATTTGGGACTTGGGCGTATGCCCGAAATCAAATTCCGAGGTCCCTAGTCCGAGATATGGAATTTTGATGAAAAATTAAAAATTTATGTTTAAATAGTGACAGGATGTCAAATTATGTACAAACGACCCCGGAATAGAATTTTGATGATTCCAATAGTTCTGTATGGTGATTTTGGACTTAGAAGCGTGATCGGAATTTTATTTGGAAGTCCGTAGTGAAAATAGGTATGAAATGACTAAAATAGGAATCTAAGCTTCAAAGTTTGATTTGGGAGTTGACTTTTTGATATCGGGGTCGGAATCCAATTCTGAAAATTTTTATAGCTCTGTTATGTCATTTATGCCTTGTGTGCAAAATTTGAGGTTAATCGGACTTGATTTGATAGGTTTCGACATCGAATGTAGAAGTTGAAAATTCTAAGTTTCATTAAGCTTGAATTGGAGCATGATTCATAATTTTAGCGTCGTTTTATGTGATTTGAGGTTTCAAATAAGTACGTATGATGTTTTAGGACTTGTTGGTATATTTGATTGAGGTCCCGAGGGCCTCGGGTGAGTTTCAGATGGTTAAAGGATAAAAAATTAGACTTAAAAAGCTGCTGTAATTTTTCTCTTCTACTGGATATTCTGGGCTGTGATCGAGCCTAGGGTCGACGGCCAGGGTCGAAGCCAGAGACGAGGCTCAGGATCGATGCCATGATCGA